GGCCTGGTAAACATACAAAAAAAACGATGGAATATCACCATGTTTTCCATGGGTATAAATTCTGCTTGGTGGAAACTGGAAACACATGAATTTTATGATTTTCCATCATCGATGGGATGTCATCCTTCTTGACGAACTCCATCATTTTTCAAGATGGTTATTGCACCACCAACCAGTTATAGATCCATGTTTCATGGTTAAATTGGTGAAATCTCCATTTTTCATGGCTAAAACCACCACATTAGTTGGCTAAAACCACCAACCAGATATTATATATTGTTGGATTAGATTAGCGACCTCACGTCGCGCAGCTACTGGAATGATGGTGAGTAAGAGTGACTATCCCAAAATGTCCGGACAATTGTTAGTGACTTGTGACATGAATTGCTATGATGTTCCCCCGATACTTTTTGGTTTTATGTTGGTTCTATACACACTATGTTCCCATTACTTATGGAGTTTGTATAGATTTATCATCCTATGATACATCCCATGACTCAATGACATTTCCCCCCACGACATATCCCATTGAATTCCACTTCCCTGGGACCAGCGCAAGGTGACCGGGATCTCAAGCTCTTGAATCGCAGATCTGCTCAGATCTTGCCAGTGAAATGAATGCAGAATGTGGGTGAACATGTGGGAGATTATCATGGAACCAAAAAAAAATGGGTGTAGAAACATACAGTGATAGAACATGTATAATGTGATAGAATGGAAACATGGAAACATACAGTTTACATGTGTTCATCGAGTTTACAATGTATTACCATGTATATTCAAGTTATATAATGTATTCATTTTTGTTTTAAATGAGTGTCTGTAATCTATACATTCCAATATAACCAATATAACTATTATGTATGTATGTATATATATATAGTTGGATAAAATTAGACATGCTTGAATGGATATTTGGATGTATTTGATGTGAGGCTAATACATCTAAACTAGATATTTGTCTATATACATTGTAATGTATATTAATTATAATACATATATATATATATATATATCATACAGATGGTGAAATGGGGATGATTATTGCTAATCCAATATTGGATCCTGGAGTTAGGGTGGTAGGATCTCAGCAGCCTAACTTAGGCAAGAAATGAACATGATTACCCTCTGGTTATGTCAAAATAGCTATTGAACATGGCCATAGAAATAGTGGATTTACCCATTTAAAATGGTGATTTTCCAGTTCGTTATGTAAACGTTTACCAGAGGGTAATGTTAGTCCTTTTGTTGCACAACATGTTTTGGGTAACTTGGCAGTCAAGGTTCGTGGTTATTGTCTGCGCCCATAATTGCCGAGACATGGCTAACAATGAACAGATCGGGAGAAGGAGCTACCTGGCAGAGGAGTGTAGATACAGGATACATCCCAGTTCTAAGTGGTCCGTACCCGGTCCCTGCACAGCTGTGTTGAGGCTGCTATTCTCCGAACATTTTTGCTTGGGACCTTTGCCGCGTTGGTGTCGAGGACTGGATGTGAGTGGGAAACCAAGACATTGTTGGTATGGAGGACTGGAATAGGAAACTTCATGGTGCTTAGGTAAATCAGTGTAGTCGGGGTTCTCAAATGGCTCACGTGTTGGACCTCCTTTGGTATTTGCAAGACGGTGTTTTGTTTCTGTGGTTGTACGTAGCAGGTTCTTGTGAAACAGAATCCAAGGTAATTCCTGATCTAATTGCCCCAGAGATTTTGGTCAACTATAGCTCTTTCGACCTTGAGCCATCAAACTGGCTGGTGATCCTTTAATTAGTAGCTCAGTTCCAAATAATCAATATGTTCCAGCTCTACTTGTACCTGGATGTGTGGAGTCTATGCTTGGGGAATTGCGTAATGTGTTTGATGTGAATAGTCTAACAACCTCCTCCGTCAATGCACTGGAGAGTCCAGAGTCAGGACTGATGGTGCGCGACTCTGAACTGCAGCGGCAAAATCCAATACCGGCATTTCACTTTTCACCTGTTTTTGATGTTTTTATTGTAGTGTAAAAACTGTTTAACCATGGCATCCTGTGTCAATTATCTCTGAACCAATCCATTGATCATCATAGATGGGTGATTATAATATTTTGAGTGGTTGAAACCCCATTGGATCCGAGCTTGTGGTAGGTCAATACCATTAAGAATGCCATTGACTTCTATATTTTGTTGCTTAAATATGGTCAAACATCATCTTACATCATCAAATTTCAGGGTAAATCCCAGCATTTCTGTCCGTTCAATCCCCACCAGAGCTGGTCCCAAGGGATTTTTTTCAGGGGGTCTCCATGATCGGTTCCACCACGAGGACGACGTGGACGACTTGCAGCTGAGAGTTGCCTATCGCTTGAGGCCCGAGTGATCCCCGCCCAAGTTTCTGACATATCTGGATTTATAAATATTGCATATATGTTCTGACATTCTTTCTGGCATTTTTTCTGACATTTTTTCTGGCGTTGTATCTGGCATTTGTTATATGTTCTGACATTATCATTCTTTCTGGCATTCTATCTGACATCTCTCATATGTTCTGGTATTCTATCTGGCAGTCTTTCTGTGCATTCTATCTGACATTGTTTCTGACATTCTTTCTGGCATTGTATCTGGCATTCTCTTTGGCATGTGCTCGGGTCCAGACGTGGCCCACAGCATCCAGAGCTGGCGATATGAAGTTCGGGTCTAGGCAAGGCCCACTGCATGCGGAGCTGGTAGTTAAAATCTAGAGACCCTCACCTGGCAGGTGGGGAATGACATGAGAAGATCCAAGCAGAAAAGAACCCCAAAATTATCCCAATATATATATAATTACTCCTACTACTACTAATAATAATAATTAATAATAGTAATAGAATGAACCCAAATCCAGATCCTCACAAATAAATCGTGGTGTTCAAATTTCAAACAACAAAACCCTGGCGGCTTTTCGGATGTTTTGCACAGGCGCCGGGCTGAAGAGTTGCAGAAATCAGACTTGGAGCAGCTGCGACAAAAACAGCGGCAAGAGATGAACGAGGTGCGGCTGGGTTGGGAATCTGCAGCTGGTTTTTCGTCCTTTACCAGGGATGTTTTATGGTGATTTTATGGGATTCAATGAGATTTTGCCAGTTATTTGTATGGTTATAAATGTGCTAATGATTCCATATCATTCGGTAAATGGGGTGACCTACTGACTTATAAGTGGTAAAGGGCCACAACTTTTGGATGCTGGGGTTTGTTTGAAAATGACAGTACCACCAAACGGCCATCAATAAAAGTGAGGATCAACCAGTGAATATAGGGGTAATTACCCTTTGATTCCAGTTGATAAATGATGAATGGTGGTTTCGGTATCACTTACGTATTACCGGGTCGACCAAGGATAACGGTTAACGGGTTGATATATGGGCGTTTTATGGAATGTAATTTGGATTCATATATGGTAACAGTAGGATCCTTTGTTTTAGTTCAATATCCAGAATAGGAGGTCTACAGTCAATTTGCAGCGTCTTCAGTGAAATTTTGATAGTAGTACTTCATCCCAGACCACGCACATACCACGAGAAGTGTACGGATTTTTTTGTTTTTCGTTTTGTTCCAGAAAATTCTTTCTGTATCAATAGCTGTTTTGTTTTTTTGGATGATACCATCATCGGATTGGTTCAATGGAAAATCTTAACCGGAAACCATGGTTTTTACCATTAAAAAAGAGGGGGTTCCTATGAATGTTGCCTTCAACCAATGATACCATGAATCTAAGACACAAAACCGCAAAGCTCTGACCTCTGCTTCGGCCCTTCTCGGCCAAAGGCAGATGAGTTCATGCAGGGTTTCGATTCCCAGCATTGGTTGCAGAACCAGGCGCTGGATGGGGAAGAACTCACCCTGGGGATATCGATGAAATGATCCAACTGTTTCCTGAGCACCGAAAAAACGAAAAACACCAGAAAATCACCAGCCCCGAATGGATCCGAATTGTGTTTCAGAAGCGAATTGGATGAAAGCAAGGCGGAGAAGCAATCAATTCAGACGTGAGAGAGGAGAAATTGATCAATGTGTTCCGGAGAAAGCATGTGACTCGAGTTAGTTCCACCACTTTCTGGAGGAATTGAGTCTAGGATCCCTAGAAAATTGTAGATAGAAACCAGAAGCAAGATCAATATTTTTGGCAATCAATCCGCACTGATAAACAGGTAGTTGCAGGGCACGTAGTTGGGTATGATGACCTCATTCTTTCTGCAGATCACTAAACCCATTGGATTGCTGTGTCCCTGTTCATTTTGAGGCTAGGAGGTGAGATCCTTCTTTGGGCATTGATGTACTAGAACTAGCCGACTAGCCTTTTTTTGCTCGACTGCACAGCAGTGATGTCAAGCAGTGATGTCAAAGGTCTGCGATGACAGTCCCAATCATCCTGGGGCTTCATAGAGTTTGGATGGATGAGTCCTGATCCGTTGGACATGGGAAGAACCCTTCTCTGGGGTGCCCATCAGAAATATCACATTATGTTCCATCTAAACTGACTGGTCAATGGTAGCTGAATTGGCTATAACTATAATATATATATGTATACAATATGATATAATATGATACAATGTATATCATATATATATATATATATGTATTATATTCAATTATATATATATATATATTTATGTATGTCCTGTATGTGTTGTCCTAGGGAGGAATGTATGTATCCCACAGCAGGGTATGATTGTTGGCAATGCGTGTACGTACGTAGCTTTGATATTCCAATACGTACCTGTGAAGTCCATTCTGACGCGTGAAAAAATCTGAATGGTTCTGCAAAGCTCTTGAAATGTTTTGAGTACAAACAGTATGCCAGACTGAGTTTCCAATACATTCCCATTGTATTGCCATTCATATCCCAATTTATCGATGATTTTATTCTCATGAAAACCTTCTACAACCAGCAAAAACACATCATTTACTGTACATAGGAAAACCATCATAAAACCATCATGAAACCATCATGAAATCATCATGAAACCATCAACCTGAACAGCGCCATGGGTGCCCTGCTGCCATGCGGCAGTCGCGACAAAGCACCGCCCAAACGGCCCGTGGACCTCAGCGCGGCCTGGCGTCGGGCTGCAGAGGTGCCACCCTTGCCGGGGCCCAACGAGGAGTTGGAGGAACTGCTGGGAGAACGGTGGCCTGGCGCGTTGCGAAGGGAAGATCGGCTGGAAAGATCATGGGAATGGTTAATAATGGTTAATAGTGGTTTAATAGTGGTTTAATTGTGGTTAATAGTGTTTTAATAGTGGTTTAATAGTGGCGATATGTTTTTTTTTGGATAGTGGGTAATAATATGGTTTGTACGGGTGAACAATGGCTCGTAATACATTGCATAACACGTAATATATGTGGCTGTATGTTGATATAGTGGTTAATAATGGTCAATAGTGGTAGTGATTATAATAATGACTAACGGTGACTAACGGCCAACAGTGGTTGAGGCAATGGGGCGTTGATATGATGGGAATATCATTGGATATAATGTAAGTGTATACCCTCTGGTAAACTAACAGTTTGCTAGTGAAAATGGCCCAGTCGAAATAGTTGATTTAGCCATTAAACATGCTGGTGATTTTCCATAAAATACCCTCTAGTAAAATAACAGTTTGCGAACTGGAAAATGGTCATAGACATAGTTGATTTTCCCATTTAAAAAATGTGGATCTTTCCAGTTTGTTATGTAAATATTCAAGGGCCCATCATCCAACTTGGCTGGAGAATCACCGAACAACGGAGGGTATGTGATATGATTGCCATATAGGGGATATAGACAAATGAATGTAGTGATCTATTGATATATATATATATACATATATATATATATACATACATATATATATATATACATACATATATATATATATATATAAACATGACAATAGTTTTAATGTTTTGTCGGAATCAATGAGATTCATGGGATATACTCAAAAATCTTTATGACACCTCTCTCTGTGCGAAACATTGTGATTTCTAGCTGGAGATATTCAATGATGTGTACTCTACCCAGGTTGAATGCTAGATAGTTATTACCCACTGAATGTGATGCCACCCCCCGCCCCAGGCATCGTTGTTGCTCTGTGTGTGTGTGTGTCAGCCCCCTTCTACCCTCTGGTAAACTAATGTAACTATGGAAAATCACCATTATTAATGGGTAAATCCACTATAAATGGCAATTTCGAGGTTTGACAAAAAGAACAGATGAACAAACAATGTCGCTACTAAATGTATGTTTTTCTTTAACAGTGTTATCAATATCTAAGAATCAGATTAAAAAATAGTGGATTCGTCATGTTTATTTTTTGATGTACGCAGAGGACATTAGAAAACTGTTGTGGCATATTTGAGGACCACCGCTCACTTGACTCTGCTCACTTGACTTTATGCAAGGTTGTGTATTCCATTCGTTCAGAGGTCTTCAATCTCCGGAACATATACAAGGTGGTGCCCCTCATTTCAGTTTATAAGTCCATCCAAAGATAAAGCACAAATCATAAAGACTGGTTAAGCCACTTATAAACCAACTTAGCTATGTTAGCTGACGACCTGGGGCACCACCTTGTATACATCTCAGTTCCCCTGCTTGGTGCTTATATGTCTTGGGATCTCTGATCTCACTTCTCACGGATGACCAAGATGACAGGATGTGAATCTCTGTATTGCGCTCAACTATGGTGATGTTAAACACAACACAGATCTACACAACACATACCCTCTGGTTATTTAACAGTTCGCCATGGAAAATCACCATTTCTAACAGGTAAACCATCTATTTCTATGGGCCATCGAAAAACCATGGCTATGTTAGTCATAACCAGGTTGGGTAAATCCCATGAAAGATCACCATTAAACCACCATTAGTCATCACCCATTTTCCATGGCTTTTGATGGCTTTAAACCATCATAACTATGGATGATCGGGATCTGTTGGGTCACATCGAATGGCCCCGAAAAAAAAAGGCAAGCCGTGTGTTGGTTAAGAAAATCCCATGAAAACCATAGATATATCATGATGTATTATATATACATACATATATATATGTACACACAGACATTATATATATATATTATACTACATAGTTTATATACTTATGCATTACAATATAAATAGATATTACCTACCATAGTCACATCCGCGGCTCCCCGGGTCTGATATTTGAACATATCCAGGTTTCAGACACCTCAGAAAGCAGAGTATCACCGCGCTCGAGGAGTTACCTGGCGTAGGGATTGGCATTTTCCCCGTTCCTGAGCAGTGACCGTGTAATCCCTGTTGGTTATGTATATACATATATACATCTATATGTATGGATATATAAATATATGGATATATAAATATATGGATATATATATATGGATATATGGATATATATATATATGGATATATGGATATATATATATATGGATACATATATCCATATATATATATATGGATATATGGATATATATATGGATATATATATATGGATATATATATATATATATGGATATATATATAGGGGATTCAACATGCTTTAATCATGAAAGATATGGTGATGTAAGTAGTCAGAAATTATGGTTGGCTGATGATGACTAGGAGGTTATACTGTACTACCCTTTATCATAAATCCACAAACTGGGAATCCAATATCTTAACCAGGCAGTGTAAGACACTGTAAGACACCAAACATGTGGGATTATCCATGCTTTACGCCATCCGCCATATCATTCCCTGGGCCTTCACGTACTATCACGTTTGCTGGTTAAATAGTGGTGAACGGCCCAAGTGATATTTGCGGGGGCAGCAAAGGGACGCAGAAAGTAACCGCAATGACTAGAATCTAAACCACGAGTCATCCCCACTTTAGATGAAACACATGTGCAGACACCAAATGATGTAAGATTTTTTACTGTGCATACACACAGTATTGCATATAAAAAATATATATATATACATGCATAGTATACACATATATATATATATTATACATTTTCATACGTAATACATAGCTTAACCCAACCCACAAGAACAACACAAGGTCTTGGGCATCGATGACGTGGCCTGGGATGGTTTGTATCGAGCGACCTGGAACCCCGATTCCACCGGTTTCCCCTGCGCCATTTGCTCCGTCCAAAGCGTGGCGGAAGTGCAGCGGGTGGTGAAATATGCCGCGCAGCATTGTGTCTTGGCAGCTGACGCTTGGTGTCCAATCAGAGTATGGCAAGTTTAATGGGGATGAAAGAAGATGATGATAAACCATGAGATTTTTTTACGGAACTTTGGGATATCCATATATCCATCTACATGATCTATGATATATATATATATATGGATATACCTTAGTCGGATGTCTTTATCATGTTCAGACTCAGTCGGTGCCTCAAGTGGGTGAGATGATCTTTGGTATCCACACCAAGACAGTGCAAGACCTATGAGTTGATAATTGACAAATCGTGGCACAGAAAACCTGTCCAAACCAACAGTCAATGGATTGGTTGTAGGCAAATTCTGCAGGACACTCACATATATCATGGAAAAATCCATGGTTATTTCCGGCGACGTCACTTATTCATTTTTATTACCTTACCCATAGGATCCATGCTATATATGGTAACATTTACCATCAATATACCCCAAATGTTAGCATATATACCATACATGGATCCTATGGGTTCAACCAATTGCCCTTGTGCCTTGCCACACCGAGGTTTACCAGTCCAGGTACGCCTTTGTGTGGCTGCGGGGCGACATTCGCATATGTGTCGCTGGCCGTAGCGCGTAGCGCCGTAGCCCTGAGCGCCGTAGCCCTGAGGTGATCGAAATGCCATGTTTTCAGCATGGGGCCAAATGCCACGGTGGGAATATCTATTACCCTCTGGTAAACAAACAAAAAGCTATTGAACATGACCATTTATAGTGGAATTACCCATTAAAAATGGTGATGTTCAATAATTAGTTATGTTAGTTTACCAGAGGGTAGATCCAATAGATTAATATGTACATGAAGATATATATATATAATATAATATAAGATAATATAACATAACATAACACAACATATAATATATTTTAACATAACATAACATGACATAACATAATATCATATAATATAATATAAGATAATATAATATGAAATAATATATTAATATATAATAATATATATATATGTACATGTTGATATGTACATAATATCTATGGATATCTATGTTGATATATATTATATGTATTGATTGATATGTACATTGGATGGTATATAAAAAAATGTTATGTCATGGCCCCCAGCAGATATGTTGGGCCATGTTGTGCCCTTTTGTTTAGAACCCAAACCCACTTAGTGATTTGGCAGGAAAACCACATAGTAGTTTTTCGCAGGTGTCACGGTGTCCATGTAATACAAAATCTCACCCCACAGCCATATATGGCCCAAATGAATTTATTCGATACTACATCATGGGTTTCTGGTGGGTACATATTTGTTACCATTGGGTTATTTAACATAGCCATGGAAAATCACAATTTTAAATAGGCAACCGGTAAACCATCTATAAATGGGCCATTTTCCATAGCTATGTTAAATAACCAGAGGGTACCAAGGTATGCTGGACAACACCTTGGTTCTCGACTTGCAAGGGCATCTTGGTGAGAACTCTGCAGGGCTGTAGTTGTTTGTTCTGGTTTATGATCCCTATTTACAGATAGAGTCATATAGATATATCATGATATATCCACCATCAATCCATAACTGTTACCCGGCTGTTGATTATAAACCAACAGACTAGCAAGCAATCGGGGACCCCTAAAACGGTCTTCTGAGCAACAATTTGGATCCTCAAGCTGCAGAAACCCGGGGTTTATAGTACATATATATATACATATATAACTATCATTGATGTATCTATGGTCATATAAAATTTGGGGTACTGTAAATAAATAAATAAATATATATATATATATAAATATGGGGGGCCACATTGTTTCTTGGAAAATCATTACAATTTATCCCAGTTTAAACAGGAAACATCCCCAGAGTGGACCATTCTGGATGAGTTCTTCCATGCTTGCGATGGTTACCAAAGCGACGCCACGCTATAGAGTTATGGCCATTTACCAGTTATAACTGGTTATTTCTATGGGATTATACATTCTATAAATGGGGTTATAAGTACTTATAACTGATAAATGGCCATAACTGTAAAACTCTGGAAGAGTATCATTATTAAAATTACAATTTCAGTAAAATTATCCCCGTTTCTGCGGCTGAAAAGAAGACATCTTAATAGCTTTGAAACTTCATCGGACTTCGTCTAGTCTTTTCTGGTGAAATCCCTGCTATATACGATAAATACACCCATCCTTGCTAAAAAGTTACTAGCTGCAAGTGCTGCTGGACACGGTTTTCTTGGTCACATTCACGTTCTTGGTTGATTGCATCCCAAGTTGTGATGAAAAACTCGTCATTCTCGTATTATATACATTCAAGTTATGTATATTCCATTGTTTGTACAATGTGCCCCCCCCAGTTGTGCTTGTTGCTTTTTAACCCCAGCTATGAGTATCATCAACAAAAGTTTTTGTTGGAGTCTGCACCAACTTAGCTTATCGTTCGGGGTCCTCACGTCTCGTAGCATTTTTGTTGTCAGGTTGAGCTCTGTGGAAGTCTTCCCTGATCTGCACCTGGCGAAAGTACAGGGTGGCGCGCAACAGGGACAGCTGGATGTCACTTGGAAATCTGTTGGGGTACACTGGGGATTAAACCTGAGGATTCATATGATATATATCTGGTTTGGAACATGGCTTTGATTTTTCCATTCAGTTGGGAATTTCATTATCCCAACTGGACTTTCATATTGTTCAGAGGCGTTGAAACCACCAACCAGAATATATATATATATTTATTTATATGATGGTTTTATTGGGATTTATTGGCATTTATTGGGATTTATGAGGATTTTTTATGGCGATTTAAGATCTTTCATGGTCATGGATGTTATGGATGTTTTATAGGCTATAGGGGTGTTTGTTAGGTTATTTATATTTACGGGGTTAAGGGAATTTAAGCAACAAACATGGTGCTTTTAATAGATTGAATGAACAGAATTGGTTGTTTGGATAGGATGGTGCCAAACTGCTGGACACATGATCTGGATATGACACACAGAGACCGGTATGCGATAGCCATGTACAACCAATAACAACGCCAAGAACAGGGATACGTGGAGATACATGGCTATGGAGTTGCAGTGGACGCACAAAATATATATTTCTCTTTCAGTATCTAACCATCCATTGAGGATAATAAACATTTCAGCCATTCCTAAGTCATGATGATGATGATGATTATTGATGATGACGATGATGATGATGATGATGATGATGATGATGCAGATGCAGATGCAGATGCAAAACCAACAAGAGCGTCAAGTTGAAGCAGCAAACAATTTCAGATGCCGGCAATCCAGATGCCAGAAATCCTGGAAATCAACCACTATTGATTGGTGATGTCATATGCCTCGTGTAAACGTTTATATAGATGTGGAAAACCACCATTTTGTGATCACTTTCCTAGGGAAACCATGTGTTTTCCACATCTATCTTTAGTTTAATGGGGTATTTTTCTTGAAGGTGCAGGTGTTTGACGTTGCGGGAGTCCTCAACTTGCCCCTTTGACCCATTGGGGAGACCGCTATAAGCCCCTTTGAGAAGGCACCCAAGCCAATACTTGTAGCAAGAATGGTGTGTTTGTGTTTCCTGTGTCAAACTCGTGAATGTAGGGAGTCAGCAAAGACTCACTTGCTTGGCTCAATGCGCATTCTTCTTGGTTGGTGGCACATACAATTTTGATTGCGCGCATATTCCCTTATGTTTGTGGCTTCAACCCCGACTTCTGCGGCTTCAATTCCAATGTCCATTGATCAAATCATATTAAATCATATTAAATCCACATGTTTGGTCATGTTTGTATAGATTTTGTGCTGGTGCCCCATTCTTACTCGGCGAAGTCACATTTTGTTCAACAACTTACCCTTTGGTAATTTAACATATAGCTATTGAACATTGCCATTTATAGTGGATTGCCCCATTAAAAAACAATAAAAAATGTGATTTTCCATAGTTATGTAAACGTTTACCAGAGGGTATGGTTCAATCAAAATTCCACTGGATATTCTTAGTAGACGATGAGTTAAGATGAGTTAGTACCTATAGGACCTATGGTTAAATCCCGGAACCGTGTAGCATGCCATGCCGCAGCGCGAGGTGGCTTGCGAACCTCACGGCTTAGCGACCACTGCAGGACACAACGCGAGCACTGGCTGTGGCGGATTGATCCTACAGGGTGGCCACGGGTTCCTCGAGCCTTCGTCAAGCTGGAGAAATCTTAGCGAAATGATGGGTGCCATAGGAAAAACCATAGGAAAAACCATGGAAAAAACCATAGGAAAAACCATAAGACATGGGATTTGATTGGGATTTACCCTCTGGTTATGTCTAACAGTTTGCGAACTTGAAAATGGCCCAGTCGAGATAGTTGATTTACCCATTAATAGCATGGTGATTTTCCAGTTATGTAAACGTTTACCAGAGGGTATTTGGGGCGCCCCAGTTGTGTTTGTGGCAAACATAACCGCATTCACTTTAGTTTATTTGAAGTATCATAAACCATATAGATATTGGAGTTATAAGAAATATAAACCAATTAGCTATCTCGGGGGCCGCACTTAGTAATGGTTAGTGAATGAATCATCAGATACCCTGGGGTAAACATACAAAAATATGTGGAAAATCACCATGTTCAATAGGAACATGATCTACAAATGATGGATTTGTTCACATCTATGTTAGTCTATAGGGTAATATGGATTAATATGGGTAATTTGTACCACAAAACAACATAAAACAACCATATAGAAGATTATAGAAGTATCTGATAATCTTCGCTCATATCATCTGGGTAGCTATTCCAAAATAGCCGAACTATTGAATTATTCAGGTTTGTGAATTACTGTAATTTTCCCAATTATAATCTGAAGACTCCGATAGTTAGGGTAGAATAGACACTGTAAACCGGGTGGCCCTTCAGTTTTTTCCCCCCAGTGCCATCTCGACAAAAATCCGAAACCTATGCATAGCATTTGATTTTCATTGATTTTCCCTGTGGATGGCTGTTTGGGGTGGCCTTTCTCAACAGGCCAGCACCAAGATTCTGCCGGTGTGGCCTCAGGAAAGGATGTTTGGTCTTGTCATTGACAACCTCGCAACTTGACGACCGCTGCGAAAACTATTTGATAGATCCAGTCTGGGGGCTGAGCATCTCCCCTTTTCGACATGCTGGTTTATATTCTGGTTGGTGGTTTGGAACATGAATTTTATGACTTTCCATATATTGGGAATAATAATCCCAACTGACGAACTCATATTCTTCAGAGGGGTAGGTATACCACCAACCAGTATTTCAAAGAAAGAAGTGATTCCATCGTTTTTCCATGTTTTCCAACAGTGGTCGGACGACCCATGGCGCGCAGATTTGACCATGGCGATTCTGGTTCCCATCCCCAGGTGGAAGTGGAATTGGTGTTGGCCAACGGCGAGTTGGTGAAAGCCAATGCGAACGAGCACCACCCAGAACTCTTCTGGGCCATTCGTGGTGGAGGCAGATTTTTCGACAGTTGGAAGGCCACAAGGTGTGGCTTGAGGGGGTCGATTTGGCAAGAACTGTCTATATTTGGATGCCCATCCTGGTTGCATCTGGTTGCCTTAGCTAGCCATGTGTTGGGGAAGAAAAAACAAGGATCTGAGGGTTGACAATCATTGTCCTTACGCTCCAGTAAACATGGCAATGGAAAATCCACCCATTCATAGATGATTTTCCCATGTTCACCACATTTTGGTAATATTTGGTAATTATGTATGCAATTGTTCCATGTATTTTCGATTCCCATGATTGATTCCTTGAGGGTATCAAAATGTGCCATAACCTGAGGGGCAAGTCTCCACGACCCTTCGTCAACTGCAGCTTTCACAGGTGGCAACTTTGGGGTTGTGGTCTCGTTCACGTTGCGCCTACATCCCCTAGGACTTCGCCACTGCTGTGGGGCAAGTGGAAGTTGGGACACTTCTTGAAGTCATAGGAAGTCATTTATGTAATCCTTTTTTGCATTAAATGTTGTAATTGATGCTGAACTTATCTGAATTTAGCATTACATATATAATTAATTATATTGGTTCGGTCAATTCTGATGTTTGACAAAAAATAACAGTACCAGATTGTATAAGCGTGATAGCTGTGACGGAACTGAACCACGTGGAATATCTGCTGTTGGTGGTACCTTCTGTCTATTCACAATATATCAGATTATCATATATTATATGAACTTACTCAGATCCGAATTCTGGAGGTGCTTGATACAAAAAATGTAATATTGCGTAATTCTTATCACCAAAGTGTTTTTTTTTGTGATACATACCAAAAGTTATTGGTAATTTCCCATATAGCTGATGATAAAATCAAACAACATCCAAAAACATGTGCAGGCTGCTGACATCATCAATTTTGTATGCCAGTTTCCCAGTTGCGTAAGTTGATTAACTTGATTACCCCCGAGTTCTGCTGCTAAGATATCAATGAATTTGTGTAACTCCCCAAAAGCGTCGTTTAGTTTGATCCCAGCTATTGCTTAATGTCAACCCTGGAGTAAACCCTGACCATGAATTTGGTGGGGTTAAGGTTACGGGGTTACCACCAGAATAGTGATAATCAACATATTCTAATTGATATTAAGAAACTGGTGGATTATCAATAATTTGTTGATAATTTAATAACTATGTATATATATATAAATATTGCAAACAACTCATGCCATTACTATGAACAATCCCAGGGTTACTATCCCACATGCTCCATGTATGGAATATTGGCAAAAGTAATGGCCCAAATGTAGGTAACCATTCCATATATCATATTCCATACATGGAGCATTGATGAGTATTTCATCACTTAACAGGTAGTATACCCTCTTGTAAACTAACATAGCTATGGAAAATCACATTTTTTAATGGGTAAATCAACTATTTCTATGGCCATGTTCAATAGCTATGTTAAATTACCAGAGGGGAAGTCCCACTTCACGAAAATCAACCAGGTTACCAGCAAGAAGTTTCCAATTGACAGTGGTTTGTTTTTTTTTTTTTCCATCCATGTATGAAAAATTGATCGCTATTGACCAGCTATTTTCCATGGAGTATTGATCATTAAAAATGATGATTTTCCATAGTTAGATTAGTTAAACCCATCAAAACCCATGGAAAATTGGTGATTTTATGGTGGTTTATTGTGATCTAATGGGATTTACCCTCTGGTAATTTGTTACATAGCTATATTGAAGCCATGGTACCGAACGAAAGTTCGTTGAGAAATACCGAACTTTTTAGATGGTGGATCTTTCCATAGCCATATGCAACCCATGGTGCTGGAATATGTTTACCAACATTTGCCCGAACAAAATCGCCCAGTTTTGTATGTAAATATACCATGCATGGAGCATATGGGATAGCTTTTTGTATGTTTACCAGAGGCTCTTCCATCCAGCATCCCATGGCGCCGGAGGACCGGTCTATGCTGGGACCCAGATCCACGCGGCCCAAGGTGCGGGGGAACGAGAGGAGCTGCTGACAAAGTGCCTGGGACGATGCGTTCCCGTGGGTCCAAAGCCGACCCAGATGGTACCCTAAGTCATAGCTGCTGAATGGATGCTTATCCTGGAAATATGATATATATATATAGTCAGATATACTGTAAATATAATATAATGATAATGATAATGATAATAATAACAATAACAATAATAACAATAGTAATGATAGGTGTTGACCCATCCCCGTATGTACTATATTAATCTTGTTTAATGGGATGATCATGGGATGATCATGGGATAATGTTTAGGTGATAATCATGGTAAACCCATAAATCCAACATGTGGCCTCACAATAGTTGGCTACTTATGACCATTTGTGTAGGGGATATAATTTGATCACTATGAGCGTGAAGCATGTGAGGTTCACACAGTCTGTAATTGGGTATTGGTGGATACGCTACGCCATCGCAGTGAACAATTGGGGACATATGGATTGGTCAATGCCAATTAGCACTGAAAGGTGATGACCATTGTGTTTATGTGTCAGTGATTTGAACAATAGGATACCATAACTCAATTTTGGCCTATTGCCAGAGGTATAGACTGTATAGGATGTTGATTGTACAGTGTAAATGTATTTGAACTTCATATGTTTGATATTGCTTTGATTCATTTTTATATAATAAACAGTATACGTCGTATACGTTTTTTTTTTTTGCTGCACTAATATACCGATGGATTTGGATGTACGTCCAAGCCAAGACTCGCCTTAGGTTTTTCGAAAAGACGGTGAATGGGCCAGATGAGGCGGCTGGACTGAGGAGATTCCCAGGTGGATTCTCTGGTTCCTCAATGTAGAACTTAAGCTGCGGTGTCATCAAACATGGTTTGCTGGAAAATTCCCTATAGAGTCTATATAGAGGAGTTTCCTATTTCCATTTATTATAGAGGATTTAATTTCCATACAATACATATTTTTATAATTCTATATATACATGTATGCCATACATATCTCGAGATACATGCCTTAAAAGATGGTTAAATCGTCTACCTACATTGCGGCCATGTACTGATTGGCGACATCTTCATATCTCCCCATGCAGGCCACAGGCTTGGTGGTGCTTCCCTGCGGTGGCCCGATGATCGAAATGTTGCTCTGGGTCGGTGGCTTGGCGTTCGGCGAAGAAACCATAAGGTGATTTAACCCTGGTTTGATAGTGGTTAATTCATGGGCTAATCATGGTTAACAACTAATAATATATAGTGGTTAAATGTGGTTAATATGGGTTTCATCCCATGATACAATATGTGGTTAATATATGTTAATATGGGTTAATCATGTTTTTTTTTTTAATCATAGTTAACAGGTTAACAACGGTTCATAATCACACAAATAATGACTCTTTTTAATGGAAATGAAAATTACCATCCTTTTTCATCAGACTGTGGCTATATGGGAAATCCCCTGGCTAATCCATGGAGGTTTAGTTCGTGAAGATAAACCGGAGGATTTTCCCCCAATTATACCCTGTGCGTCCCAGAACCCAGCATATGGCATAGGTCTATGTTGCAGACCTAAACAGGAATCAACAAAAGCTATTCACGGGAGAGCGCTGCAGCCGGGGTTTTTGTGATGTGCATACAAAACTCATTATTGGATATTATTGGGCCATTTCGGGACAATTCCAATCATGCAATGAACATAAAGGCGGATAAAAATGGTGCCAGGCTTTCCTGTGGACAGTCCGTGGACAAACCGTGGAAACACCTATTGAAGTCGTCAAAAGAACTATTAAAATCGGGACAGGGGCTCGCAAAAACTTAAATATGGGCACGTCAAAAAACATTGAGTGATATCAAGTGCATCAGAATGGACCCGTTGTTTTTTGTATTATTTGTGTTTTTGATGACAGTGATGAGAGGTGATTGGCAGTTTTGAATGACATGTTTCAACGAAGTCCATCCCTACTTCAAAAGGTGATCCCCAGTTCGACAAGCTGTACTCAAAACTATGGAGGCCTCTTGTTGTTTACTCTCCAGTACTCAAATGTGGCTTGCTGGAAAACCTATTTATTCGATTATTTTCCCATTAAAACCATTTATAGATGATGTTCGCATTAAATCCACCGTTTGACTACCGTAGGGTACCTGAAAAAATTGATCTGATTGAGAACCTCCGGCAGAGACTCTCTGCTGTGCGGCTTGCCATGGTGAGGGTCCAGCTGCATCCAGTGGTTGTTTGATATCATTCCACAGTCGCTTCCATTATGCGCAGCTTCAGACGCGAAGTAGACGCGTTGTTAATGCGGCAATGCGAAGTAGTGCTGTTGGGCTGGTTGTTTTACTTGGTGGTGGTGATTGTACTCACAATGAGAACTTTCACAAGAACCCTGGAATAGGCCCCATTTAGAACTGAAAAAAGACATGATAATACCGTATCAAGTAAATTTCAATGATCAGTATAATTAGACGAGATTAGACACTTAGAAAAAAATCACTGCGTCATTTCGATGTTCATTTCTTTGATCCCTTTTGAGGCTTGTTGTATGGCGGTCGTCACAGCTTGCCCCAACTTCTGAGGTGCGCCTTCCCAAGGGCAAGAGTACTTTCAACGTCGCGCCTCTGGGCCGTTGCTGTCAGATACCATGGGAGTGAGACTTGACCAGAGACTGGCGGCAAAGTTTAGGCAACGATGCACAAAATCAGCAAGACTATACAAGTATATACAACTATGATATATAGATACACAGATCACAGTATAATGATACGGAGGGACATGAGCAATATGGTATATTGACAATTGTAGTCTTTTATATCAATGCATATGTTGATGGATATTGGTGGATTATGAATTCTGGGCACAACGATCACCAGGAACCATGGGGGCCTGACAAAAGTGCTGCTGAAATCAGGCAACAGCGAGGTGACAAGCAGTGACAAGCACATACTGGATTTGTCATCAAAAGCAAGCTAGTGATCAGTACAAGAACTATGGTGAAAGATGGTGAATCAATGGTGAATCGATGGTGAATCAATGGTGAATCAATGGTGAATCAATGGTGAATCAATGGTGAATCAATGGTGAATCAATGATGAATCAATGGTGAATCAGTGGTAAATCAATGGTGAATCAATGGTGAATAGTGGTTAATAATGGCATATTAATGGTTAATACTCTGGTTAATACTCCTGGTTGGTGCTTTGGAACATGAATGGATTATGACTTTCCATTCAGTTGGGAATTTCATAATCCCAACTGACTTTGATATTTTTCACAGGGGTTGAAACCACCAACCAGTAGTGATCAGTACAAAGAAGATATCTGCTTGGTGGTTTCAAACATGAATTTTATTTTCCATAATATATGAGATAATCCTTCCCATTGACGAACTCATATTTTTTCAAGATGGTTAAAACCACCAACCAGATATCATCGCCAAATGGATTTGTGCAAATGCGTGAGTGAGTTGGGTTTCCAAAACATGACTTGATGAATTTCTGAATCCCAAATGTGAAGGTTCCAGATGTCATAATCAACCCTTTTTAGATGTCATAATCCGTGAAAAGTTGGTAAACATCAAAATGTTTTTGAGATAGCATGTGGCATTAAATAAACGCAATCTAATTATGAATAATTATATATATATATATAAGTGGTTTAGGTAGAGCTCTGCACACTTCAACCAGGGCCTGTCCTCCAAGGAAAAGTTACCATAACGACGTGCAACGCTTTAGTGATCCTGGCTGCAGATTCTTTCTGGCCATGCTATGCCCTGGGTTGACAGCTTGACAGCTCCATGATTAAACCAGTAGTGTCTAGTGGATTTAACTGGGCTTTAAGCATCAAAACATGGGGAATAGAAGTAGATACCCTCTGGTAAACTAACAGATTGCTATTGAAAATGGCCATTTATAGTGGATTTTCCCATTAAAAATGGTGATTTTCCATAGCTATGTTAGTTTACCAGAGGGTATATATAGTTATTATCCCATGTTTGGAATAAGTTATAAGTGGTATTATCTACTGATTAAGTAGATATAACATGATAAAACTGATAAATCATGGTTGGATGATAGGGGATGACAGAAGCAGAAAAAGTCGCCCATTGTTTTCGAATGTCACAATCCATGTCCCCCGTTCAACCAGCATCCAGCTCAAAACCCCGGCCCTTTTAGAGCAACTTTCTTTGTAAACAACAAGGCTGTTCTGGAAACAATGTATAAATCACAAATCCAATATATAAAATGTATTAATTTATGAAATATAGATGATAAACAATATTGCAATTGCGCACAGAACCGGACGTTTGCCCGGAGCCTGTCTTTTCTCGCACTTTTCCACGGACCCCCACGAAGTCTGCAAAGGGTTGTTGCCTCAAATTGTTGTGAAACGAGCCATGAAACAATTTTTGTGTGGTACGCATGGCGAGGGGCCACACCTAGTGTACCGTCCATCCCTGCAAGGCGGTTAGAACCGTGGATGCAACATGAGTTAAAACCCTGGGAAAATGAGATTATGCAATGTTTATTATGTCATCATGGGCGAACGTTATTTGCAGGTGCAATTTACTTCCTAACTTTCAAAACAAACATGATTGATATACCCTCTGGATCCCTCTGGTAAACTAACGTAGCTATAGAAAATCACCATGATTACTGTAATGGGTAAATCAACTATTTCTATGGCAATTTCCAATAGCTATGTTAGTTTACCAGAGGGTCTACATATTTCAGCGGGTGAATCAAGGTCCGAATCTAAGGCGATCCAGATGGAAATGGCAAAGCTGTGTACCTTGTCATGGCGGCGAAATCATCAAATCTAAAATCAGAGAGGTGGGCTTACATCCTTGAAATATGTACATATGTGTATATATATATATATAATTATATATATGATATTATCCTAACTCTAACATATATATCCTAACAATATCCCCATGTTGTTAGAGAGCCGCTATATCCCTTTGATATCGTCATTGAGTGGATTAGCCCACCCCGAAATGTTCATCGTTGCACCATGTTGCACCGGTGATGCACAAATGGTGGTTGTTTGGGCTCCCAGCAACTGAATAAGAACACAACGGAAAAAAAACATTCAAACATCCACCGTAAAGTCAGCGCTTTTCAGAGATTTCGGCACTGATGCTTGGAGAATTATAACTGTTCAGCCACACCTTGCCATGAAACACAAAGCTGTCCAGCAGGGAAATCAATGGATGCTTTTTGAGTGGGAAAAACTGCGGTTGAAACCATGGTAACTTTACCCCAAACTGGCTGAGGTTTCCTCACATCATCCAATTCTGGCTTCAAATTCTGAGATTTCCTTTCATATGTATATTTGTATAAATGTGTGTGTGTAGAGATATTGATGTTGGGAGAATTTTTAGAGAATAGAATCACTTCAGATACGAAGATACACCTTTGTTTTTGTGCCATGAAGCGCAAAGCTGTGGACGGTCAGGTGTCTGACAGTTTAATCAAATTTAACGTGTCCTTGCCAAGTGGACGGCGTGAAACCATCGCAGTCTCGCAGTTTGGCACCGTCGCTGACTTGAAAACAGCAGCACAAGAGTCTCTGGGGCGAGGTTTCCTGAGGCTTGCTGCACCTGACGGGCGCCTTTTCGACCCAGCAGAATCTCTTCAACTTTCTGGGCTTCAAGATGGAGACAGCCTTACAGCTGTCGCCCAGCAGCCAAAGCTAGCTGTGACAAGGTTTGCTTTTGCTTTGTGGTGTATTGGAGCTGACAGGGTTGTCACCTGGGGCAGACAAAACAAAGGTGGTGACAGCTCCAGAGTCCAACAGCAACTCAGGAATGTCCAGCAAATTTGTGGCACAGACGGTGCTTTTGCTGCGATTTTGGCAGATGGAAGCGTGGTGACATGGGGCTATCCAGACTGTGGTGGCGACAGCTCCAGAGTCCAACATCAGCTCAGGAATGTCCAGCAGATTTGTGGCACATACGGTGCTTTTGCTGCAATTTTGGCAGGTGGAAGAGTGGTGACGTGGGGCGATCCAGGCTATGGCGGTGACAGCTCCAGAGTCCAACATCAGCTCAGGAATGTCCAGCAGATTTGTGGCACACACCGTGCTTTTGCTGCGATTTTGGCAGACGGAAGCGTGGTGACATGGGGCTTTCCAGACTTTGGTGGGGACAGCTCCAGAGTTCAACATTTGCTGAAGAATGTCCAACAGATTTGTGACACACACGGTGCATTTGCTGCAATTTTGGCAGATGGAAGCGTGGTGACGTGGGGCAATCCAGACTATGGCGGTGATAGCTTCAGAGTCCAACATCAGCTCAGGAATGTCCAGCAGATTTGTGGCACATTCGTTGCTTTTGCTGCAAATTTGGCAGATGGAAGCGTGGTGACGTGGGGCAATCCAGCCTATGGTGGTGACAGCTCCAGAGTCCAACATCAGCTCAGGAATGTCCAGCAGATTTGTGGCACATACGGTGCTTTTGCTGCAATTTTGGCAGATGGAAGCGTGGTGACATGGGGCTATCCAGACTGTGGTGGCGACAGCTCCAGAGTCCAACATCAGCTCAGGAATGTCCAGCAGATTTGTGGCACATACGGTGCTTTTGCTGCAATTTTGGCAGATGGAAGTGTGGTGACATGGGGCAATCCAGCCCGTGGTGGTGACAGCTTCAGAGTCCAACAGCAGCTCAAGAATGCCCAGCAGATTTGTGGCACGTATCGTGCTTTTGCTGCAATTTTGGCAAATGGAAGCGTGGTGACATGGGGCTATGCAGACTTTGGTGGCGACAGCTCCAGTGTCCAGGGTCAGTTCAGCTCCATTTAGTGACGCGTGCCATGTTTCAAAAAAGTCCGGCGGATATTTTAGAATCCAGATCTCTTCAGTAATGAAATTTACATAGATATTGTATGATATTGATATTGTTTGAAAGGAAAAACCCATGGGTTCCCAAGGAATTAATGAACGGATTGTTGTTCCATCAGTGGGACGACGGCCTCTCAAAGTATCAAAGTGAGCCACTTCTTGGCAGGTCGATATGTCGGAGGATGTAGCTGCTATAGCTGGCGGTCTTCAAGATGCTTGTAGCTCCCCTTCCTGTGATGAAAAAAACAAAAAAACTTGTGATTTCTTGAAACTCTGAGCCACTAGCTAGGGCCGTCTAGGGCTGTCCAGAGGGTGATCTCAGAGCGCTGTACCTTTCATTGACTCCAGTACTAAGTAGATGCACTCCTGAATCCCATCCTGCGTTTGAAATCGGCTAGATAATTAAATAGTAGTTTAAACAACAAACACCGAGGACATAGATAATGAGCCAAAACCTCAACATCAACGATCAAATCCAATGTTAAATTATTAGCAACTGTTGAGCAATCACAAGAATTTAGAGTTCAAAGTGCTCCATTGTTTGGAATATATTATAATTTATACTTTATATGATGTACATTAAAACATTATGCAGATGGTGAATTCAACATTGTGGGGGTCAGTCTTGAAAACCTATTGCACATTCTGTGTTCTAACGACATGCTTATTTTCTTGGGTTGTTGCATGTTTTTGCCACATCATCTCCATGATATCCAAATTTAGTGAGCTAGGGCCACCCGCTTCCTTATGTTGGTTGCGATGCACCCTCACCACTTTCTTTAGCATCTCTTAGTGCCAGGTTATGCACAACAACTGGGTTTAAATCTACCTTTTTCATCCTTTTTCCACACAATTCTGCTTTAGCTCGTCAGTCTGGGTAAATTGCAACCTCAACACGTCGCAGCGACGGTCCTACGATTTTTTTCCAAAATGGCCTTAGACTCCAGCTTTGCATATTGCGTTTTATTTTTTTCCATTTGAGAATTCCTGAAATTGCATCCCCTTTATCTAGAATCTAGATATTTGTTGGTTTATGTTGGTTTATTAATATTGTAAATTATGTCTACAATCCCCATCAACTATAAATACATCATAAACATTTGAAAGTCTATAAACCATAGTCACACCACCGCAGGTATTCAATATAATTTGTTAACGAACTGGGGCACCACTTGAAGGATCACCCCACTCTTCAGTGGTTAATAACCATAGCTACTCGTCTCGGGCGATGGGATAACCCACCTACCGGAGACTTACTAACCAGGCTTGCTAACTCACTACGAGTTGTGGGATGACTTTCCAAGTACCACCTTCCCATTTATATTCATTTATTGATATGTGTTGGTTTATGATCCCATCAACTGCAGTTTTTCCATGTTTTTCCCCCGTTCACCCACACATTGTTGGAGTTTGTGTTAAGCACAAACTCAACGTGATTCCGAGATATCTTTTTGACCCCAGCCTGCATCCCATTGATCTAGATATTTGGATTGAATTGATATTATACCCTCTGGTAAATTAACATAGACCCTGAAAATTACCAATTTATAGTGGAAGTGGAAACTAGTCTTTCAACCCCTATCTGCCAGGGTCTATGTTAATATACCGGGGGGTAATTGCCATTAACTATAGATGCACCTACCATAAACATCCATAAACTATAGGGCACCGCCAGGTATCGAACTCATGATCTTTTCCAAGTTGGTTTCTAATATCCTCTTTAACAATTTCTTCAAACAGAATGTGTTTTTTTTCCCCCAGTTCTTGAAGTGATTTGGCACCAACTCAGCGATTCCGTGTGGGGGGAACCTGGGCCCGTGAGGTATCAAACCGGCGTGCTGCTGCCGGAGTGGTCCAAGGAGGCGGCTGCCAAGATCAGCGAGTTGGTCTCGAGTCGAGCGCCCAACGCGTCCTCGGTTTCTCGGCAGTGAAGTGCCATGGGCTCCAAGCCTTGAAGCATCACCAGTTGGTTTATTGCCTCTATAACTGGTTGATTTACTCATTAAAATTGTGATTTTCCATTGTTATGTTAGTTTACCAGAGGGTAGTTTTGAAAATACTGATTGGTGGTTTGGAACATTTGGATTATATATACATTGGGAATGTCATCATCCCAACTGACTCATATTTTTCGGACGGGTAGGTATACCACCAAACAGATAAAGTTGATATTGGGGGGTGAAGTTGAATAGGGTTCATTACATGTCATTACAATCCATTGGAAAAACTAAAGAACAAACCAGTGGAACCAGTTCGTAGCCAGATTGACCCTGCTCAACTGACTCAAATTTGTTGTGGGTGGTTGGCTTACAACCCCAGCACCAGCATTATTTGAAAGAACACATATACGGAAACATAGAATAACATGAACAACTTACAACAAACACAACTGAGCTTTGATCAATGGCCATTCCAGGATCCTAAATTGGAGGTACCTACCATATATAAGGTCTATATAAGGCCTATGTAAGGGAAATCCCCCACACATTTTGGCCTTATATGGTACAGTACCTCCAATTTAGGATCCTCAAATTCCCATTGATTTGAGATGGTTCCAAAAAGATCCAAAAAGGACCTGCGCTTTTCATGACGTTTTCGTTCAAACCAACGGAGCTTTTCCAGGCCATTCTGCTTCTGCCGTTGGGCGGTGCTGTCATGCACATGAGACCAGAAGCCACGGCCTATTGCTTTCGCAGCATGAAGGTGAGGGGGGCACGGGGACACCATGGGCCACCTGTGAAGGATATGCAAAGAGGTGCCCCCAGCTATGCTTGTTGGGTAATCAAAGTTCCCATGAACTACAGATATATCTACCATTATCTACCCATAAACATCTACAAGCCATAGCTAGTTTAGTCATGAAACCAATTTAGCTAACGAAGTGGAGGCAAAACCTTGCAAGATCTTGTCATATGGGCAGGGCTGGGCATGGCTCAAAACGTCCAAAGAGGAACAGATATGGAAACATGAAGTTCAATGAAGATCAGAAGTCATATGAGTCATATGGGTCGTCAGTGCCATATTTTGAGATATATGTTCCTCCCTGGTAAATTAAATGGCATCCCAAAACCCTCGAAAGGACCCAGATGATCGGGAGGCACAAAATACAATGCCCAGTAGATTGCCGGCTGATTTTGTGGGTTTGTGGACAACAGCGGTTGCATCCTTTTTTTTTGCGACTGTTGATCTGATAGTTGGTACACGTAGCTTACAATGTTTTGTCTATTTGGTTGATGGTCACTATAGACGTAGATCGTTGAGGCCCCGGCCCCTCCCATCTGATGGAAGCTTGGGAGTTTTTCCATGTATCACGGGATTTCACAGGTTTGTTGGTGGCGTCTCGTTATCTTGTGGTAACATCTTCATATGCGCTGCATCCAAAGTTCTTCTGAACTTGTCACTGTGTCCATATATTTGGGGGTCCGTTCCGCCAGTTGGCCCGCTACAATCATCCCGTATTGAAAATCGAGTACCCTCTGGTTATGTTAAAATAGCTAGTGAAAATGGCCATAGAAATAGTTGATTTACCCATTAATAGTTGATTTACCCATTGAAAATGGTGATTCTCCAGTTCGTTATGTTACTATGTTAGTTTACCAGAGGGTATACAGAAAGCTGAATGTCCAGATGCTTGCTTATTTGGAGATGTCGCAGCTGTCCTAACTTCAGGATGCACCTATGGAGAATTTGTTGTGACCTCAAATGCCCAAGCTTCAGAAAGAAATTAGCCCATCTGCTGCACTTTTGTCAGCCTGGTTGTAGATGGTCTGGTGAAGTATAGTCCGCTTACAAATACAGTACATCTAATTCCAGTAATTAGTATATATATAAATATTACTATATTATATTATAAATATATATATATATAATTATTTATATATATATATATCAAACATCATATTGTTGGTTATTAATGTAGGTTGTAAATGGTTGTAATACATCCAATGAATGCTGATGTTCCCATGATTTTCCCCTTTTTTCTGTAGATGGTTGCGAAATCCTGCGCCAGCTGCGCTGAAACCATCCATAAATAATGAGAAAGCAACGGGATAAACCACATCCCTCAACTGTTCTAGGATTCCGAAAAACCATCCACTGTATCACCATGTATCACCTATCCCCATCAAAAATCACATCATCCCCATTAAACAGCCATTAAATCCCATGAAACTCCCAGATTCTTCCCCAAATCCACTTGGATCGTCGCTGTCGAGGTCTGGGTCTTGGTCTCCGGGCAGTTCGAGGTGAATTCCGAGGACCGTTCCAAGGTGCAGCACACCAAAGGGCTGGTAGAAACCAGTTTTTTTTGGATATTCACGATTTGCATGATATTTACAGTATAAGAGCGTTTTGAAAGTTACTTGCGAAAGATAAGATTGTAGCGTCAAGAGCGTGTTGGAAGTTGCTTCAGAATGAAAAGAGCGTAGCATCAAGAGCGTGTTGGAAGTTGCTTGAGAAGAAAGAGATCGTACCATCACTCTTTTGGAAGTTACTTGAGAAAGAAAGATCGTAGCGTCAAGAGTGTGTTGGAGGTTACTTCAGAATGAAAAGCGCGTAGCATTAAGACGCTGTTGGAGGAATGCGAGGCAACAGAACGTTATTAGCCCCTCCACCCCACCCCACCCCCCCACCCCCTGGCCCCCTGGCCCCAATCGTGAAAGCAGCATCAACGCTGCGTTCCATCCATGATTAGGTGTTTTGTGAACAGCGCTACGACTGCCCTCGCAGTTTTCACCTTGCTGGCATTAATCACTTATCTATATATCATGTTTATCTTAAGTCAACTTCAACAACTTATGACGACCAAGAAGTCAGTACATCTTCAGCGGGTCATGAAAGTCATAAACAACACAGGATTCATTGCGGGGTTTCTACCAGCCCGACACCTTTTAGCAAGAATATATTATGGGTGGGTTCTTAAGTCATGGGGGGGGGGCCCAAGTCATCAAGGTTGCTTCAATATTCCGTTATTGTCTAGTTTACGATTTTTGTTGATTGACATAGATGTGGAACACCTATGGTGAAAACCGTGGAACATGATCATGAATGATCTACATCAATGTTGAATCATGTTGGTTTCTCCACATTGTAATTTATAATAATTTTTACATCAATTGGATTATAATAAACCATTATATATATATTATATATAATTATATTTAATAATATATATATATAATACTATATATATATATTATACAACAAACCATTCTATGCATAACAAACCATCCATTTCGGAGCTCTGCTGGAAGGTGGTGAAGTGGGCCCGTGAGGTGCGCCATGAGCTGCTGCCCTTCTCAGCTGGCGCAGGTGTGCTTCGCATCGGCCTGGAATTTGGATGTCAAGATAGTACTTATAAACTTATAACATAACTATAGTCAAGATATCCTGGTTAACCATGGTGAATAATGGTGAATCAATGGTGAATCAATGGTGAATTAATGGTGAATAATGGGATATTAATGGATAATATTCTGGTTGGCGGTTTGGAACATTTGAGTTATTTTTCCATATATTGGGAATAATGATCCCAACTGACTAATATTTTTCGGAGGGGTTGAAACCATCAACCAGTTAATAGAAACATATTTTTGATGGAATTAATCACATTTAAATGGCAGTTTGATGGAATTTCAATGGTGTTTTTAGGGACTTTCATGGAATTTGAATGGCTTTCTGCAGTGATTTGTTCATGGGATTAGCCTCTGGTACTTGGAGAATTTCACCAGTCAAACCTTGGGATTCAGTGGAATTGCTCAGGAATGGTATTTTATGTGTGATGAATAAAATGGGGATACCTCCAAATCATCCACTTTTTTTTTGATTTTCCATTAGAAAGCATCTATTTTGGGGTACCACCATGACTATGGAAACCCCTCATTTCTAGGTCAATCTTAGATGGGTACTTTAATCCTTTAGTCTTTTGGTATTAATGGGAATATCTACGTTCACCAGCAAAAAAAAATGCAGGGTATCTAAGATTGGCAATGTAATGATTCTAGCAGTAAGAATGGGGAGATTCATGGAAATTGCCGGCTGTTTTTTTTTGTATGTTAGATGTAACATAACCACCTTGATAGGTGATTTCTGATGAGAATGGTGATCCAAGCAGCTTATTGATTAGGTCCCTGACACTCCATGCCTTGAATATTTACTGACATTGAAATGTACCCTTGAGAAGAGGACATTGGTTTTATCGGAATCTATCGGAAGGGTTTATCGGAAACCTGCAGCCCTGCAGCCTGTTTGCTTCAAGTGGTTCCCCGTGATGCGGCGTGCAAATGCAAAACGTGCGCCACTTAGTACGAGTTGTGCCTTGGAGCCATGAGTTCTTCTTAGTTATTTGGCTGCTGCTACAGGTTCATGGGAGCAATCTTCAACAGTGGCATCAACATCTTCAAGGGATAGAGGTGCTCCACCCTGGCCTTGCAGTGCTGAAGCGCATGTGTGCGCTGTCTGATGTCAAGTTGTAATGTCTTTCCTTCCTTGGCAGTGTTTGGCTGCTTAATTTCGCATTTTCATTGCAGCATTTCTGCTCTGGGTGGCTGTGCGATTTTGACAAGACCTTGGGTGCCACCGTCTGGTCCTTGGTTTTTGAATGTGATGAATAGTGCACATGTTGACTGAGAACGATGTTGATCCAGTATATAATCTGAGGCCATGATCCACTCTGCATGACAGTTGGGTGGCAACCTACGATGGTCAAATATTGCATGATGCATACTCTTTATCTCGGACTATGTCATTGGGTGAATGCTGGTGCGTTGTTGACTTTAATCCATCATAATTTCTTCGGTAGCTCAACTGCAAGAAAAAACGCTAAATCCACCTCAAACCTGAATCGATTATTTCCTTCAAAGAGTTGGCATCCAAGGCACCCAAACGATGACCGAGATCATGCACTTGTTGAATCGCCGATTCCTCGACTGGTGCCGGCTGCATATAATAAACCCAGGGCAAACCTACATTGGTACAGCACATTTGCATCAAGAGGACTGGGCAGAGCTTCGGCTCAAGGCCTATGCTAGCCGGGCGCTTACTGCCTTCATGTGTGCCTACAAGTTGTGCAGAGACAACATGGAAATGCTGACATGGATCTCAATCTGATCACAGTTGCTCAGCAATTGTCCACGTGGATGCTCGATGTGGAAGTTTATCCTTTGGATTTAAATGATGAGCAAAGTGAACATATATTTACTACAGGGTTTCAGTCACTTGGCTTTGCATATACACATGCATATGTGAGATAAATGAAGCAGAAACTGCATCTTGATCTGTTTGATGTCATTTCAGGTTACTGCAGACATATCAACTTCTTGCTCAACACCACGTGCATCTGAGCAGCCGTCGATATCCAATGAAGCCGAAAGTCCACGCAACCAGGCAGAAACGATCATGGCACCAATGATGATGATGATGATGATGTGAAGTGAAACCATTTTTTTTGACCAAGGCATTGTTGGAATCCTGCCATGAAGCCCGAATCTTCAAGGAAAATCCCAGAATTTTTCCTTTAGAAATGAATCATCGGCATGTTGCAACATGTTGTTCAAACTTGCTATAGCCTTGACTTGCTTGATCTTGGATTAACTGTTTTGCTCAGGAGCAACACATTGCTATGGCGATGAGGATTTTATGGGCCAATGTAAGCGGCTGGCAAGAAAGGTGCATAAGAACACCTTAGAACTTTGCATGATCATGCGGTGGTTACTAAGTACGCCATCCTGATCTCGATGCTTAAGGGAAAAAGATCGGTGATTTGCCTGTGGATTTACCCACAAGATTTGTTAGAAATCGGAAATTGTGGGAAATGATCGGGTTTTGAATGTACCCACTTTTTGAGGACATAGGCTCTAACATGTCGAATGTACCCAAAAAACGGGTACGAAGCTGAATTTATGAAATATTTACTATCATTGGAGCCTTTGGGGGTGATATGAGCCTCTGGGATATTCATAGCTTGCCATGAAAGCCATAACCATATATATATATTGTTGTTGAAGATTGTGATTTTCCAAAGCTATATTAAATTACCAAATGGTAGATGGAAACAATGTGGAAGTGCAATTTCCAGTAAATCTTACATAGATATGGACATTTCACCATGCATGCCTATAGATTTTTTCCCTGGGTTTCAGCGATGGATGCCCATATTGATTTGTTACAAATAGTGCAGCTTTGGAATCTGGAACATCCTATCTATATATATATATACATATATATATATATCCGGATGATTTTTATTTCGTTATTCCCATGAAGTAATTCAACACATATTTTCATAGCTAGGTTAGATTGCCAGGATGGTAGATGATTGGTAAGTGGGTAGCATTGACCCCCCAGTGATGTTTTTTCTCTTCCAGAACTTGGCTCAGTGGTAATTATATTATATGTACATATATGTACCATGGTCAAAACATGGTTGATGTTTTTAGTCCTTGGGGAATGGGAATATTCAATTCATTCTTATAGGCATGGATTTAAATATATTTAAAGTCCACCAGTATGTTTTGGATTTCCAATATGACATGGATGTCCACAAACCATATACCATGTTTTGACTGTGGCACATTTGATCTCATCGATTCTGATAGTCCTACGTTGCACTGATAAACAATGACGCATATACAAAATGCCTTGTCGGTGGTCGATAGTTTCGAATGTCACGTTGCATCCCCGAACACGGTGCATGATTGCACGATATTGCAAGTGAGTCACATGCCAAACCTCAATCTCAAGTACTTTAAGCAATAAGAGACACTCTATGAAATCCCAAGCTGGATACATACCCCCCTGTTGATCCATGTTGTATATAGTTACCTACATTCGGGCCGTTGTTGTGGTAGACTTTAGGTTGATGTTCCATGAATAGAGCACATGCTATAGCTGCGAACTCTTGATGAATCTTCGCTGCAAACATCTGCAAAGTGGGCAACCCAACCATCTTGAAAGGCTAGCTAGGTGTATTTATAGCATTGGGTGAATCCCACATTAACCATTGCTAAACCATATGGGGATTTCAATCATCCCCAGTCATGGTAGTTGTTTCTTATCGGGTGGCCCACATTCCTTGGAGTTGCCACAGGCTACGGTGCACTAGACGAGTCCGCGCAGCATGATGCTGCGACCTTCGCACAGGACGAATCGGAAGGCGAGACTTTTGGCAGTGTAGGAAGGTTCCAAGCCAATATCATGGGGAATTTTTGGGGACGTTAACATCAAGATTTATGTGGCTTTACAGAATGTTTTAAAGTTACATTCTAATATAGATAAGTTGGTTGAACTAAGTGGGTGATAATGGAAATTACCACTAGTGGAATGATAGTCTGAGAGTGGAAACAACCATTGATAGATAGGACTATGATTAGAGATGGGACCATGAATTTTTGGGAATGGTAGGAATATTGTTAGGAATTGGAGCATTGCGGTCATTAGGAATACCTGTGGGAATCAGCACTTATCTTATTTCAGTGATTTTTGTTAAGCTGATTTTAACACGTTTGGATGGGAACAATCATCTATAATTTGTGATATAAACAATAGTCAATGGAAATGTGGTGCCCCGTCCTTGGTAAAGTTGGTTTATAGTTGGTTTGACGATGGTGTGTGGATAGTCAGATGTGTAAATAGATGTAAATAGACAAACTTGTCACTGGCGGTACAACCCCCCTTGTATGTATCATCCCTGATATAATATAACTCCTCATATTCATGGCTGATTCGCCATTTCAAACATATAGAGATTTTAGGAATATATTGAACCCATAGCCAACTATGGATATTTGGCTTTATAAATTGTCGCGAATTCTAACCAGATTGGCATTATATCAATGGGAGTATATTACGTCGCTAACTGTCAATGGTTTTTACACGTGTCCGGAATAGTACCCTTCATAATTTAGCGCTATGGAAAATCATTTTTTGTTCAACAGGTAAATCATCGAACCAACTGGGCGGCTTCCACAGCAAACCATTAAATTACCTGGGGGGTAGATTGATATCAAAAAGACCATAGATATATTGATAGCTGATTGGTGGTTTCAAACATTTTTTATTTTTCCATATATTGGGAATTTCATCATCCCAACTGGCAAACTCATATTTTTCAGAGGGGTAGGCTGAAACCACCAACCAGTAGATATATTGATAGTAATTGTGGTTGATATCGATAAACCATAAATATGATTCCGCAGATGTTGAAGTTATACTATAACTATCGTATGTCATGGATATACACTCTGGTCTCTGGTTATTTAACATAGCTGTGGAAAATCACAATTTTATGGCTAGGTAATTCATCCATAAATCATCGATCAATGGGCCATGGCGTTCATAGCTATGTTGAATAGCCAGAGAGTATCAAGCATTGGATGATATGGCTTATGATTCATATAAATAGTACCTAGATACTCAATATCATTTATATATATATATACATACACACTATAGGAATACTATCAGCTAATATCCAAAGAAAAATCAATAGCCATGGTTGATACAACAAAAACATAGACGTGCAAAATTATACGATTCCGAAGATATTGATTGAAACCATACCATATCTATCGATTATCATAGATGTACCCATAGATAATATTTTACACGATATGGTTTGTAGGACATAATACATGATTTATTTCACAAACCTTTTGAGAGTTGTAGATTTGATTACTTATACTATGATAGTTCTATTGATACGATAGTTATGTCACATTATATACCCATCTGACAGTTCCACTACTTCTTTTATAAACCATTGTTGGACATATATAATCATATACTCTCCAGTACATTAACAGAGACCCTGCCAGATAGGGGTTGGAAGACCAGTTTCCACTATAAATTTGTTATTTTCAGGGTCTATGTTTATTTACCAAGAAGGGTGTGTGCATATATATATACATATAATTATATATACACTATAAGATATTGATCAAGTATGTCCAACAAAGCCATGCACCCATGATTCCTGTCTGCCAGGTGGCGCCATTGGCATCTTCACCAACACTGTGCAGATCAACAAGGAACGACGCTGGGACGCAGCGCTGCTGAGCTTTCAAACGTTACCCGGTAAACGTTTACACAGGAACATCAGCTAGTTGCAGATGATTTTCCTATGGAAACCATGGGTTTCCCAGCTCTGTGTAAACGTTTACCATGGGGTAAAAGGATTTTAATAATTATTGAAGGTGAAACCAAATTTGAGGTAAAATTGATGATCTGTTTAAAGATATCTTCCAAAGTTTCAATAGAATTAAGGAAGAAGTGGCGGCAAACGCCTACAAAATTGTTGTTTGGTGGTAGAAAGAACGTGATGTCCTGCAAATCTTCTCGGACAGCAATGCGGTGATTGCCACAAAAACTGTGGATCTCCAGGTCTGCATTCTTAATCCTTTCCAGGTCGGGTATCCAACTTGTGGCCTGGCGACTTCAGAATTGAGTTTGGTACCATCTGGTTATGACTAACATAGCCATGGAAAATCACCATGCTATTAATAGGTGAACCATCTATAAATGGGCCATTTTCCATGGCTATGTTAAATAACCAGATGGTAATTCAAAACGAGTACATAAAGCGTAGAAGTTTGGGCGGGATTTTTTTTTGACCCATGGCCAAATGACAATGGTAGTAAAAAGGCCATGGGGCATACTGAACACTCTAAATGAGATTCATAAGTTGCATAAATGCACGGGTCATTTTTTGGACTAAATCCCACATTATTTCACGGGATAGTGAGGTACCATGTTCGTTCATCAGGGTGTGACGCAGCCCATGTCGGACAAGTCCTGATGAACAAATCCCGTGGATGGACGCCGAACAAACTATGTTTCCTGTATTAATGTATCGTATTATAGAGTCCGCAACATTGTTCCATTATAATTAATAGTTGCCGGAAAGTATAGTCCTCTACTCATATATATATATATATTTTTTATATTATATATATATTATAGTTATTATGTACATACATACCTCCATCCAAATATTCATTTGGTGCTGAATCAGCCGTTGCCCAGTCATCCCCAAAACGCAGTGGCGACGGTGGCGTCCGACGGTGGCGTCCGAGGCAACATCTTTGGGTCTAACCTTGGACGTTTGCAACAGATCAAGGCCAAATACGATCCCAACAACGCCCCGGGGCAGCAAGGACCATCCAAGCACAATAGTTTTTTTTCATCAGCTCTGATGTCAGATGAGAGCAAAAGATCAAAACTCTTAGATGCGTTTTTTTCGATATTTTTGGTATGTTGTGTTTTTGTTAACCCAAATTTATGCCATTTTGATGCGAAGCATATTGATAAACCGTGGGCTTTTGGGGTACCCAATCTTCACGCGAAACTTAACCACTGATGCTCATCTTAATTCTACGGCATTTTATTTGTTAACTTTTACAGACAGTCTCCCTTTGACTAGCCAACATGTAGGAGGTAGGTGTCATTTTGTTGATTTCACCAGAATTTCTTGCCCAGACAGGCTCGACGTTTGGCCCCTGACACTCATAAGCGCATAGCATCTGGTAACTCACCATAGCTGCTAGGAAAATCACCACTTTCAGGTAAATCACCTGTGACTGGGGTTATATTTGATAGTTTGCTTAAGGGTAGAAGGCTTACACACCAGACCCTCCCAAAGGACCTTTCCTGAAAGTGCCAAGAACACCGACATGGAAGCCCAAAAGTAAGTTTGCACAATGATTTTCATACTCACTTGTTCAGTAGATGGGACATCTACCAAGAGTGACCCCAAGAAATTGTCCATACATAGGTAAGCAATGGTAAACAATAGTAAACATACCATACACGGAGATACACTGAGCATGTGGGTACTTGTAATGGCCACGTTCAATCTTTCTTGGGACTCTTTGAAAAATCTGTTCTGTTCATTTCTGTTCATTTCTTGATACTTCCTAGGCGAGTAGGAATGGGGCCCCACTGATATGTGGCTTGGACAGAACTCTTGCGTGAGTCAATGCGCCTTTCTTAGACTGAGGTTTTCCGTGCCAATGACAACATTGTGCCTGCAAGTTGAGAAATCATGGCCACGGAATCCACAACCAGTGGTTGATTAAAGTGCGTCATCGCTGTCAAACGGAGGGGTCAACCAGTTAGTCATCACTGGGTAGCTATTATTCCCCTAGAATGAATCAACCACGGTTTTGGGAAATCTGGGATTGAGAACCTCGCGCCCTTGCCAGGGCACTTGACGGCCCAAGGCCTCAGCACAGTGCAAGAATGAGTGAGTCAGTCCCAAATTGAGGGAAATTTGAGTCAGGGGAATCCTAGTATGGGACTCTTGTTTTTTATTGAAAGGTAAAACCACACTTTCATGAGAAGCCGGACAGTGCCCGCTTTGAAGATGTTTTTAAACACAGTAATGTTCATCAGCTTCATCGGCTCATCAGCTTCGTATGCTTATCAGCTTCATATAATCAACCCGATTCCAATTGACTGTCGATTGTTTGATGCAGCGGACAGGGACCGCTGGAGCCGTGCGGTGCAGCTGGATTTGTTTCTGGATCCGATTTAGTAACCTTCCCAGCAGCCATGAACTGATGCAATGACCTGGCAGGTCATAAAAACCTCACAACCATCGCCTTAGATGCTGGTAGGATGATCAACATGGGATGAGAGTTAAAGGTGAGAAGTGTCCTGAAGTGAGCTGTATACGAACCTTAACGGGAATTATCCTTTGAACTAGCGCGTCTGGCAATGCCACAAGTCCCGCGGGGTGCGCGCGTCATTGTTGACGCCGGTACATCATTTTTCGTGAAAAGGTCTGTTGGTGATGGGCGATGCAAGGACTGGAAGATACTGGAAGCGTGGTACACGGCCATGGTTTCGTCATGGTTCCCCCCACACCATGTTGGATCCAGGGCATATCGATCCATCCGACTATGCCATTGCATTCTCCCATTCCACCTTCACTTCGACCATGGATGTAGATCTTTGCGGTAATCACTGGGTAATCACCGTGCAATCCTTATGGAAACTACAAGAAACACAGCAGAATATGATGATCTATGATAATGTGGTAAAGCCAATGATAAATCATTCCCAACCGGTAGGTTCATTATTAGTTTAGCACATGAAATTCATTTCGTGGATTTGCTAATTTGCTAACCAGAGGCTATCAGCAGTATGCTGCACCATTCAAGTAGGACCCCTGCACTAGACCCTGGGAATTGATCAAACTTCGATATCGCACCAGGTCACATTACTGGAGGGTTGCCAAGTAGGAATGTATGGGCTCCGTATGAATATTTAATATGTATATGTTTAATTCCTCATATACATATTATTATCTATAGTTACATGTACATATATATATATATCATATATTCATACAGAAAGGGACGTTGTGGAGGCCAGATTTTTAATGTGTTTTGTAAAAGTCACTAAAAAAACATTCTTGGTCACTATATCATCAATCAAATGCTCAGCGTTTTAAAGTTACTTGGCTTAGGTCATGAAGATCAACCAAAAAAAGTTACGTTTCATTAAATATGTTCTTGTGCTAGTATATGCTAATATACACATGTAGAATATCAAAATCAATTTTAGTTGCATTTTCTAATAAATCTTAATTTTCAGCCATATCATTTCAGCTTAATGCAGAAAGAGGACTGGACAGATATGGGTCAAATTTTGGATTAATATAATGCTACTAAGCTTTCTGTACAGATATAACTTGTTTCCTTTCTCTCTTCCTCCTCGCGACCTCTGGAAACCCTAAAGCTGTGGTTTTTACCTTCTAGACCTCTCTGAGGGGGGGTCCCACAATATATATATTTATATACATATATACATATATATATGTATGTATGTATGTAATGTAATGTAATGTAATGTAATGTAATGTAATGTAATGCAATGTATGTATGTATGTATGTATATATCATTATATATATATACACGTAGTTATTATATGATTTTTGATTATTTATATATTTATTATAAGATTACATTACATATTATATTACATTGTCTTATGTTATATCAATTTGTATTTCCTTAGGCTTATTGTTTGGTGAACTGGGCACTGAAAGTTTGCTCCGTCACGTACGTCATCTAGGCGTCGTCGCCTCGTCGCAGGGTCCGCTCCCAGAGACTGGTCGCTGTTCAGCGGCCGGGAAGCCGCAAGAGACGAAGCCTCAGAGGTGGGGCGAAGGATTCCCAACCCAAAGGACATGATTTAACTAATGATTACATTAAAACTAATTAACATAAAAATGCATATTACCGCTAGTCAATTTTAAATATCGATTATAATTCGATCAATAGTGATCAATATATAATTGGATGGAACTAATCCCATTTACCATTCAGAATCAGGACCCGTTTGATAGGGATTTATATAATCCTAACCAATGGGGAAGATCGCAACGGGGAATCTTTGTCAATCATATGTGTCGTCAAAAGATGGCTTAGGGAATCTCATTCATTGCAAGGGATGATCAATTGATTTTCATAATTGATATGGGGGGTTCCAGAGTCATGGGGATACCCAAAACTGGATGGTTTATTTCATGTAAAATCCTATTCAATTGGATGATTTTTTCGGGGTATCCCCATGACTTAGGAAACCTCCAGTCATACCAATTCTTTGAGGATTCCCATAGGATGAGCGTTTTCACCATCTATTTGCAAGCTATCTTGGGGTCAACAGAAGGGTACCAGGCTTTTGACCCACAACCATATGAAAAATGGGAGGTTAACCAGTTAACAGTCAAACATAGGGATTAAGATGGTTTAATAAATAACCTGACATTGGGGGTGTGTAACCAAGAACATATTAAATTCTGATTTTGTGGGCCCCAAAATGAATCTTGCAACAAGAAACAATACTAATCCAGGGTTCCGAAGGTGTTGTTTGGCATTAGGGGGAAGGGAATAACATTCTGGCCTTTGGACCTTGTGCCAACAATCTGGGAATTGTTAATATATACATTATACATAATTACTATTTTTATATTATATAGACAGTTATACATGTTAATGTCCCTACTAAATTTTGAACCAAGCAGTCAGTTACCCTCCAAGTTACTTTCCAACATAGTGAGTAGCCTTGGAGTTTACTGCTTGGATATGATTGGCTTACTTTTTCAGATGTCCATCTACAAAATACTGCATACAGTACCGATTGTTGGTTTCATATGATCAGTGTTATTTTCATGTCCCATCCGAAAGATTGGGATCATGGTAAAAAAAACACACTTTTATTAAGAGTTGAATCCAGACTTCCTGAATCTTCCGTACAATCACCCTGTAGTAGTCTCGGCAATGAATGGAACATCATCATTAATTCGAAATCACAACTAAGATAACTCCAAAGAAGTCGAATGGAAGATGCTCCTACTTAGGTGGTGCAAAGAAATGAACAAATACTGAGATTACAACTGAGCAAAATCCACTATTAATGGGAAAATCCACTATTAATGGCCATTAAAATGGGATTCCCATTAATAGGTGAGCAAAATCTCCAAAGCAACTTGGAAGATGGTGCAACTTTTGTTGCCTCCCTCCATCCTCCACCGTGCTGGAGGCCCGCTGAAAAGAAGCGTTCCGAGGCCGGGCCTTTGCCCCGGACCTTGAAGAGTGGAAGGCGCGGAAGTGTGACAAACATGGCAAGGCAATGACGAGTTGTGATCATGTCGATGAATAGGATATCCAGGATATATGTTTACCAAATTGTCTATATGTTCATCTATTTTGATCTGATTTGATCATTGATACATATTGAATCATATTGATACTGGCATGAATTGAACATTGTTTTTTCACATGTTTTGACTATGATTTCTTATGATCTAGACATGATATGACTATGGTAACCTGGTAGGGACGATCTTCCCATCGAGGCCAAAGGATGACCTTCCGACCTGGCGATCTCCCCGATCTCCCGAGGAGGTCAACCCTTTTGTCATGGGAAAAACTGGGGCTATGGTGGGGAGTTTACCAGGAACAGATTTTTGTTCAGTGGAATTTCACCAGAAATGCTTTATTTTTCGCCAGAAATGGTGGATTTTTCGCCAGAAATGCTGGATTTTCGTGGATTTTCATGGATTTTCGGGATGTGGACTTGAGTCGTGAAGGAACATGTTTAAAGAACACAAAGAGCGATCTTCAGTTTTTTTGGGGTGGGAAAAATGTCACTTGCCAAGATTGTTGTGCTTTTCTCCGACCAAAATTGCCGAGTGAACCAACACTTAAATGCAATTTTCATCAGCAAAAAATGGAGACAATATCCTAATGAGACAAAGCTTCAACCAACATGGGAAGTGTGCCATCATCCATTGTGAGAATGTTGTGAATGATTGGAATTGTACCCTTTGGTAAGTCAACATGTCAATGACAATGAAAAGTCACGGTTTCCAATTGATAAATCATCTATGAAACGACCATTATCCATAGCTATGTTAAATTACCAAAGATCAGTCCAATCAAAATCGCTCCTTGAATGGATTTGCAAAACACAGTGACAGTATGTTGGCATCTTGGTGTCTAATTGACTAGCATCTCATAGATACACGCTGTGCCCTGTCGATTGAGGTTGGCCCACCCCTCTTGTGATTTGCTTTCATCAGACCTATCAGTGGTGAACGCAGTCAACCTCAACAACTTGTAATACCATGCGACCGTTAGTTTCCTCAACTACTAATCAAACATCCATTTCCCCCGAAACAAGCTGTGGGGCCTCGCCTGTGTTTTTTTTCTCAGATTTAAAGTTACTAAAGTTAGAATTGGAAAACAGCCCATACTCAGCCCATAACTTGAAACTTTCATTAGTATGCACAGCTGGTTGGTGGTTTGGAACATTTTTTAATTATTCCATTCAGTTGGGAATTTCAATCCACCCCAACTGACTTTCACTCGATGATTTTTCAGATGGGTTGAATCGAAACCACCAACCAGATTATTATGAACCATCATTAACATCATTAACCATCATCATTAACCATCATCATTAACAGTAGATTAACCATCATCATTAAAAGTATATTAACCAACCACATATATATATATATCATCATATAGATATATATTAACAGTATATTAACCATATAATAACCATTTT